TATCATATAATAATTAAATATGTTACATAATTGCTCAAAAAATCAAAGTACTCCCTCTCGATAAGACTCGCGCAATGCCCCTTAGCCGACGCACCCAAACACAGAAGCCGCCAACTGGGCCGGCTTATGGAAAATATGGCGCAAAGGGGTTAAATGACGTATGCATTGCTGCTATATTTCTTTGCTTTGCTCTCTGGCGGGTCGCGGCGGCAGACTCTGATTTGCCTGCCGATGTCTCAGTTAGCAAAGTGAAGTGCCAAATTTATCAGCTGCCTGGACTGCGTTTGAGGCTTGCGACTGGCCAAAGGATTGGCCCATAAGTCTTCGGCCAAAAATATGATCAATAACGGTCGCAGTAGAGTGCAGCTAAGAGTAAACAAATGTGGGGTCATTTACAGTTTTCAGTGCTCCTTAAGTCCAAAAGATTAATCAAAAAGTCAATTGTAAAAGTGAGAAAGTCTAGTGAGTTACACAGTATTTAGGGCAGAGTGCTCCAAAGATATAGAAAAACCGAAAAACTCTATCAAGTAGTCAGAGATTAACTTAACTGTTATAGAAGCATATTTAAAGTTGATAGTGTTGGAAAAAATACAAAATTAGAATTATTCGTAATTGACCTAATATGATGACAATTTATAGCATAGCCTAAATTTAAATTAAAAATTCTTTAGATTCAGAATTTTTTGCAATTTAATTCCTCAAAAAATTGTTTTCAGTGTATGCCAGCTATAAATAGGAATGCTACACCTATTAACCGTAAGTTAAATTGTAAATGTCCGTAGTTAGTCTGACGGATGGCCCCGAAGTGGTCTGCAAATATTTCATTTAAATTATAAATAAGCAAAAGTTAAGTAAATAGCAAATGTGAATAACCTTTCGGACGAATGTGAATAGCCGTTTCTTGACGGGGTGGAGTGGAGTGGAGGCTGCAATAAAATATATTGTACGATTGTCTGATTATCAGAGCAACCGCAAAACAATTTAATACTAAAACCCAAACCACATGCTCTGGCACGCGCATCCAGTTCCCCTTTTGTGCGAAAACCCAAACTCTCGCGTACGGACGACCACATGCATGATAAATGCACAAAATCTGCAACAAAGTGTTGGAAACACGCACTTTCTGTGTGGTAGGGGTAGGCTATTCACATGGGGTAGGGCTACCTTCCCTCTCCCTCACTCCATCTCTCTCTCCCTTTCTCGCCCCTTGGGGTTTAGTATTACAAGCTGAGGCCGTGTGCGCTGCGCCCTTTGACAAATGGCACAAACGCATCGAGTTACAAGAGTTGTCGAGGCTCAAGATTCGAAGATTAGTATTGAAGTATTGTGCCAGGGTTACCAAACAAATTTGTGTACTACAATATCTGCCAGGTAGAAGTAATAGAGGATGCAGCGGATGAAAACCTCTATAAAAATAATAATAATATTATAATATCAGAAAAACCAGCTATAGAAATGCATATCGAACAATGCACAATGTGGCAAAAGGATAATGTCGAAAAGCCATTAATATGCCCGGAACATTAACATGCTGTTGTGACAGGCAGTCAAATAGGCATAGAATGGTTTCGGCCCGGTGGATGAATTATCAAACAAAATGGAAAAAGGTGCAGGAAATGCAAGCTGCAGTCCTCCAGCCGTTTGTCCTGTCAATGGACATGCAGCGCCTGTCGTCTGTCGTCTGTTGTCTGTCAGTGGGGGAACTTCATTTACATGGAATGCAATAGATCGATGCATTCTTAGAAGCCGTTGACATTCCAGCCGCATAAATCAACAGACACTCGGTCAGCGCGGCGAGGGGTTGCGGGCTAGCCGCTTGCCTAGCCTTTGAGACTTTTGTTATTACAGATTGCAAAAAGGAGTTGGAGTTTGAGCTGCAAATGATATTGATACGACTATGAGAACTCAAGTATTTAGTGTTAAAGTATTAGGGGTTAAAGTCCTTCGACTAAGAGTGAAGTAGATTGTGAAATACAAACATAAATAAATAAATATATAAATGTAAATGATGAGCTACCTAGTCGTTGAGACTTTTGAATAAATGAGGAATAGATTAATGTATGTCTAAAAATTTAATTAGTGAATGCAAACTTAACATTACATTTGTAAAGACAGCCGGTGTAAGCTACACTGGGCAATCCGTAAAGACTATCCTCAATTTATATAAGATTTCATCTAGCTATGACTTCACCAAAGATTGAAGATTGTGAAAGGTAATATATAAAGCATAGAGCAGAGCCGGCAAGCTGGACATAGAAAAATATAAATAAATAAGAAAATATTATTTAGAAATATAATAGTCAAATATAAAGAAAGACGCTATAAATAGCTTTTAAAGGAATTATTAAGAAATTTTTAAAGGCTTGAGTCCCTTTTTGGCGGTTTCCTAATGTTTCTCTACCTTTTAACTTCTGCTGCTATATGTTTAATTTCTACATCATTTCCCATATTCAGCTTATACCATATAATATATCTCTTTCTGTACTCCGCCCATGATTCTGTCTTTCTCTCCGTTTCCCTCTCTAAAACATCACTCCCGAGTTCTACGCTCTCGTTCTATTCCCTTCTCTCTCACACTGCCTCATTTCTATCCTCATTTTAATCCTTCTCGTTCTTTGTATCTGACTGTGTTTCTCATTCTCTCCGATTCTTTATTTCTTACAGACTTTCACTCTTTCCTTGCATCTCTTGCAACTCCACACTCCCTCTCTCTATATGTGTACCCCTAAAACTGCACTCACGTCACATATAGACTTTAAACTAAGTTCTGTGATATTATCCTCATAATTCGAAGAGATACGCTAGCCATTAGCAAAGTCTGTTGCTTGTTGACCCGGGGATTAGCAATGTTTGCCAACTTTGAATCTCGGTTAAGTCCGCAATGCAACCACAAAATCGCATAAGCACAAATAAGCTGCAGCTCGCGCTGTCTGAACCAACGCCATTCGAAAATCCAATTTGATAAATAGAAACCAATAAATGCAATAAAAAGCAAGCGAAATGAGCTCTAACCAAATATTTTCGCATTTGCGCACAAATTTAGAGCACAAATTAGCAATATGCCCGAATTTATGAAATATGGGAAAAACGTGACAACAATAATACGATACGCAGGCCATCCGAAACCGACCCACACACCCGGAACATTAACCCCAGCAAACATTTGTTGCAACTGCCCTTCAAATGCCGAATGAAAGGCAAAAAAAAAAAAAAAAATTGAAAGCAGAGAAAAACTGAAGAACAGCTGAGTAACTAAAAATGAAGCCAATATAGAGCACAGCTATGATTACAATAAAAACTGGGCTCGGTCAGTGCCACAAAAAGGGCTGTATGCAGGGTGGCTAGCGCCTGGTAGTGGGAGGGTGGGGGGTAGGGGTAGGGGTTGCAGCAGGCGTTGCGAGTGTCATAAGTGCATAAAATGTTTTTGTGTTTGGCACAAAAGCGAAGCGAAAAGTTTAATTTTCTCCAGGGCGCACAACAGTGCCGGGTAACCAAATCCGTTTAGATCGAAAAAACATAAAGAACAACATTAAAAGGTGATTGCAAGCGGAGATAGATAGACTGATAGATGCCCTGGAATTGTTGGTATATCTAAGCAGTGATCTAATAAATATTATATTATATTAAATTATATTAAATCATTAATGTATATGCATATATTTATAATTCTAGCAAGTGTTAAATATTTATCTCTTTGAACTTGGCATTTATAAAATTTAAAATGTAAGGATTTTAATTAAAGTTATTTTCCATGGATTTTCATAGAAATAAAAAGCTTTTGCCAAAATAGGGCTAAGAATATTATATGTACAAGTTAAATTTTCGTTGGTCTAAGGATTGCTGAACTCATGCAGCTCAAGAATATATTATTAATTTGGGAATGCTCATTAGGATAAAATATGAGGTGAGAAAATTAAGTAAATTTTACATATGATATTTACTTACACATCTTAAGATCTCCAATCTCTGCCATACGCTCTTTACACACACTTCCTAGGGTATGCACAAAAATACAATAATAAATGTAACAAATGACGCACACGCTGTTACACTGTGCGACTGCTCGGGTGGGTTCGCCATACGCAACACGGCACTCGGCACTGGGCCAGGGCCTGGGCGTTTGCAATTTTAGATGAAATGGCCGGTGGCGCTATATGAGAGCCAGATATCGTTCCTATATATGTGTACACACACTTATTTGACTAATGTCTTTAATCAAAAATTACACACGTTGCAGACGAGAGAGAAAAGTGAAAAATTGGCAGGCTGGCAGTCGAGCCATGTAGAGCCCATGCCTTATAAGAAGGGTAATGCGCACGCTGTAATACTTGCGGCTTACAAAAATTTAGCATTTCATTAGGCAGTCGTATAACCACCCCCGGCAATTGCCGTGCCACCCTATACTCTTAATATTTACTAATATTGACAATACTTAAAGAATTTTTTTTATACATA